GGAGATGGCGGGCGCGGCGAGGGCGGCGAGGGCGGCGGCGAGGGCGGCGAGGGCGGTGGCGAGGGCGGTGGCGAGGGCGGCGGGTAGTTGCACTCCGGAGGGCCTTCGTACAAGGTGCAGGCATCGGGAAGGGCGGGCAGGGGGCAGGCAAAGTGGTTGGTGCCGCCCAGCCAGCAGTGCGTCAGCGGCAGGTCGTTGAGCTGCGACGGCACGGTTCCGGAGATGTCATTGTCGTTCAGGTAAAGATTCTTCAGCTGCGAGAGCTTGCCCGTCTCCGAAGGGATGGTGCCCGAGATGGAGTTGCGGTGCAGGTAAAGCTGCGCCAGCTGCGAGAGCTTGCCCGTATCTGGAGGGATGGTGCCCGAGACGGAGTTGCTGTACAGGTCAAGATACTCCAGCTGCGAGAGCTTGCCCGTCTCCGAAGGGATGGTGCCCGAGATGGAGTTGCGGCCCAGTCTAAGATTCTTCAGCTGCGAGAGCTTGCCCGTCTCCGGAGGGATGGTGCCCGAGACGGAGTTGCTGTACAGGTCAAGATACTCCAGCTGCGAGAGCTTGCCCGTCTCCGGAGGGATGGTGCCCGAGATGGAGTTGTAGCCCAGCCACAGATCCACCAGCTGCAAGATGTCACCCAGCTGCGGAGGGATCGTCCCCGACAGCCCTCCGTAGCCCAGATACACCGTGGTGCCCGTGTATGTGCCGTCGCACAGGGACGTGCCATAGACGCTTGTAGGGCAGCCTCCGTAGCATCGCACGTTGTTGTCGCAGACCGTGCCCGCGGCCTCGCAGCGATCTGCCAGCAGGAGGAGCGCGAGCGGGACGAGGCGCGGCGCCGAGGAAGAGCAAACTGCCGCCAACAGCGCAAGAGCGAGTGAGTTTGCCAGTGACGTGGCGGGCGATTGTGCAAGCCGAGCTCGCGTCGCCGCGCAGCCGCCGGAGAGTGCGTGCTTTGCGCCGACGCGGGAGGATGCAGGTGCGGGGCGCGATGCGAGCGCGGTCGAGGCCGAGGCGAATGGTGGAGCGAATGGCAGCAGTGCCATGTCTGAGGGATTTAGTGCCATGTCTGGGACCGGGCAAGGAGGCACGAATTCTTTTAGCGTGGGCGCCGGGACCTTACTACCTCCTACCTACCGGGATAGGTGGAGTTCCCGGTGTGTGTGTGTGTGTGTGTGTGTGTGTGTGTGTGTGTGTGTGTGTGTGTGTGTGTGTGTGTGTGTGTGTGTGTGTGTGTGTGTGTGTGTGTGTGTGTGTGTGTGTGTGTTTCGTAGCAAGAATACTCACTCACTCACTCTCTGGAGTTCCCGCTCGGCGTTCACTCGAACGCCATGCAAATGGCGCGGACGGAGCAGCCCCGGGTTGGTCTCTAGTCCGGCCTCGCGGCCGTGTCCATTTCTGGTGTTTACTAGCTCCGATAGAGCAAGCCTGCTCTAGCCTCACGCGTTCGCCCCTGTCGTCTGTTGTGTTGTTGTGCGCCCTGTTTGTTCCTTCGGCACCTTGGCTGGGGGAGGCGACAGGGGGGGGGGGGCGCGGCCTTGAGTTATGTGTACGCCAACTCAAGGTGTGTGGCAGCCAGCTGGCTGTGTGTCTTGTGAGCTTGTTTGTGTCTGTGTGTCGCTCGTGCGTGTCGTCATCATCTGTCTCGCGTCCACCCATACCGCGTTGGTGTCCAGTCCGAGCCTGACTGTTGTTCATCTTTCTACATACATACATAACGCCGTGCAGGCAGCCCGTGCCTTTTGGTGTACCCCGTTTGTACCGCGTCCTGTATAAATAAATAAATAAAACGGACACACCAAACAAGGGGTGGGAGAAGGCGCAGGGTCCCCACCTGCGCGAGCAGAATCTTGTACGGACGATCAGGGACACAGGGGAATGGGAGCGGGGAGCGCATCGCGACACGGAGGGGGGCTGGGCAGGGTTCACCCACACGACAGGGTCCCAGGGATTCCCCTCTCGTATAGGACAAAGTTGCACCCGGCGGCACGGGGGCAGGCGCGGGCCTCCTACTGGTTGCGCTCTCCTAGTTCTCCTGCTCCTGACAAGGGACAGCGACAGGCTCGCAGCACGGTGGACTCCCTATTCCACTGGCGATCTCTGTCGACTAGCGATTCCTCCAGCTTCTCACTGGCAGTCTCTCACTATCACGGGCACACTGACAGAGGCGGCCAAGGCTCACGCCGTGGGTGGCAGAGGCGGTGATAGGAGTCTCCCACTCTGTGGGCTTCGCTAGTGGGCTTCGCAGTGGCCGAGCCGACCGCCGTTCGACCTGGCGCCGAGTGGCTCCCAGATCGAGCGCGGCAGGCTCAGTCGCACCCTCGCGGAGCGAACGCGAACCGAGCCGTCGCCGTTCGCCGCAGCCGTGGTCAGCCGTCAGCCGGCAGCCGCTGGCGGCGATCGTGGCGACGGCGCCTCGCCGCTGCAGCGCATGTCACGGCCACCGCAGGCTCGACGCGACGAATAGCCTCCGGAGGCTGACTTTGAGGCACCCGCTCGTAGCGACGGCCGCAGGTCGGCCCAGTGCCTGTGAAGAACGGCCACGAAGCACGATCTGTAACTGTATGTTCGTCTATGTAGCAGCCCCGCGTCCTCTCTGTCCCACTTGCCTCTTCGGCACTTCCACTTGTCGCGCCAGCGCAGCGTCCTGCTGACTAGGTCCAGCCCTGGGTGGCGCAGGTTGTGACATTTGGCGATTCCGCGACTTACTGGGCCCCTGAGCCGCTACCCGTGTGCGATTTTTTGTGGCCCGGACATGATACTGATAGTAAACGGGTCAGAACCGGCCAAACACAGGCTACAGCCCCACACACGCGCCCGCCATAGCTCCTGGAGAGCATGCGCGAGTGACGCGCTGCAAGCCGCGAGAGTGGCATCAGAGGCAGGAACGACGTGCTCTTGCTGCACCTCGCAGCTGCACCAAGTGTGCTCGCAGTGTATGCCACGGCCACTGCCTGCGGCATTGCTCTCGTGCAGCTAGGCGATGCAGGTCCATCAGCAGGGCTCATCCAATGCGAGCGCACATTGTGCGTAGCCGCGGGCAGGTGGCAGTGCACAGCACACCGGCTGTATCGGCTCGAATGCCCCCGGCAGTGCTGCTAGTCATCAACTTGCGTATTAGGGCCGCAGCAGACTGCTGCTGTGGCAGCAGCAGCAGCCTGCTGCTGCCTGATTCAGTCAAGCCAGCGGTGCAGCGAGGCGTGCAGAATTCGCGCGGTTTTGTCCCTCCTGAGGCTGAGCGCATTCGAGCCCGTCGACCGGAGTTGGATGGTACCACGCGTCTCACTGAGACGCGGGGTACTGGCCATGGCCGGGCTACGGAGCGTGAGGTGGCGAGCGGAGCGAGCGACAAAACAACGAGAAAAACACGGATCTGAGGATTGTCACAAAACCTCAGATCTTGCGCCACCCAGGGCTGGACCTAGTCTGCTCTCTATACAGACTCCGTATGTGCGCCATGGCGAGGGCGGCAAAAGAATACACACAGACCACGACACTCTCATGCGACGCCCTCCTCCCCGCGCGCCCGCGGCGCCGAAGGGCTCCGTCTCGAGCCGAGACAGACACTCGGTCCGAGAGCTCGGGCATGGGATGCTCCCCCATCGCCCTCAGGACCTCCCTCCACCGTCGGCCGGGAGCCTCTCCCCGCACGCCCCTTTTGCACACAGCCCGCGCCGCCGCGCCGAGCCGCCTAGTTGGCCGGCGTTCCCCGCGACGCGGCGGGCGCCTCGAGCGGCAGCCCATCGCCCGCTAGCGCCTGCTTCAGGCGCGCCTCCACCGCGGCAGCAGCCGTACCCTCGGGGCGAGCAGCGGCGAGCGGTGCCTCCTCCGCCTCCTCCGCCTCCGCCGGCGCCCCCGTCCTCCTCCAGAACCGGAATCCGCGCCGCGTCCGCGCCGGCGTGCTCGCGGGCTGCGAGACGGCGGCGTTGGTGCCCAACGCCGCCTCTGCACCGCCGCTCGCAGCCTGCCCCGCCGCGCCAGCCGTGCCGCCGCCGACCGTCTCATCCGCCTCGGCCATCCCCGCCAGCCCCTGCGTGGCAAAGGGCGGGGCGGAGGTCAGGCCGGCTGCTCAGCCCGTGGACTGTCGGCTGCGCCCCCCCCCGCGACCCGGGGCAGGCGGTGGGGAGGGGGGCGGGGGCTGGGGTGTCCGGGGGCCCTGCGGGGGCGGGGGCGGGTTTTTCCCGGGGGGTCCCGCGGCCTTTCTCCTCGCCTCCTCCTGGGGGTTTTTCGCCTTTGCCCCC